TGATGTCAGACCGCAGCCGGCAGGCGCAGGAACACCTCAGACAGATCACAGAGCTGCTCCACACCATCAGCACCAGAGATCAGGACATGAAGGTGCAGCTGATCATCTGTAACTCTTCTCTGTTTACTTGCTCATTTATTCCTCCTGGTTCACATGTTCTCTCCGCCGGTCTCAGGATTACGGCGAGAGGTTGGGCCGGGTGATTTCTGAGCGAGCGGGTCAGCTGCAGGAGTTGCGGAAGCAGCTGTCGTCACGGGAACAGGAGCTGAATGACCGGAACAGGGAGCGAGAGAGAGATGCTTCTGCGTCCAGAGAGCTGCAGAGACTTCAGGACGTTCTCAAGGAGAAAGACGCCTTCATGCAGGTCAAACACACACACTCTCTCAAATGTACCGTGGTAATGATGTTCTGTGTGTAAATGTACCGCGGTAATGATGTTCTGTGTGCAGGAGTTACTGCGGGGGCCGAGCAAAATGTTGAGCTCCACACCAGCAGCAGACCAGGGTGAGTTTCACCATGAAACATCCCACAGTAGATCAATTAAAATGATTGATTCTCCTCATTCTGTGTGTGTGTGTGTGTGTGTGTGTGTGTTTGTTTGTTTATGGTGAGCAGCTGCATGCTCGGACAGCTCGGGTGATCTGGATGTACAAGCCATCAGAGATGAGCTACAGCTGACCCTCAAGAAACACAGAGAGACTGAGGTAAAACACACACGCACGCACACTCACATACACACTCACACACACACACACACACATCTAATAATGCAGATTTCAAATCATGCAAAATTGCACTTATCTAACCATGTTGTAACTGCACGATGGATTGGTGGAGTCACACACTACACAACTTTTCAATAGAAGCATCGCCGACCACTCTGCCTCATTTACAAACTATGTTTCACAACCAAACACATGTGAGAACTGATAAGGAAAATAACATAAGATCAGACGAGAGAGGATTTATTCCTGTCAAAAATGGTAGCCCGCAAAAAGCTTGCAAGTTGTCTGTATACTGCTTTGCCGTGAAAAAAACAAGTATTGGAAGGAGAGAATGGTTGCTTGCTGATGTTCTATGACTCCTCCCCCTGAACTTGCCCTTGCCCTGTATTTGCTCTCTGATTGGCTGCAGGTCATGTCACACTGCAGGACTGAGTTGCTGACAGGTCCAGATATTTAGCATGACAAATATCTCACGCATCGGCGACACATCGGTGCTTCTCTCAGATCACGGCTTTGATAACACACACCCTAAATAACACACACAATTGTGAACGAGCACCGATTTGATTCCGATTTCAGGCGTTTGTCAGCGATTTCCACAAAACTATCAGCGAGTGAAAATCAGAGCTAAAGTCGTGCGGTGTGAACCCGGCATCAGGATAATGACTCCATGGATATTTTTATACATTTTATGAATATACATTTTTCTAGTTATTCTCAACTCTAAAACAGTCAAATGTTTTTAGTCCTTATTCACTAAATCACAGTCAGCTTGCAAAGTCCTGGGGCTTTGAAATATCGCGGACAATGGGGGAATTAGGAGTCAAAAAGTTTGAGAAACTCTGAACTAAATGTTTTTCTGTCCTTGTGTGTGTGTGTGTGTGTATGTCTGTGTGTTTGTGTGTGTGTGCTTATGTTATCTGTGTGTGTGTGTGCCTGTGTGTGCGTGCGCCTGTATGTGTGTGTGTGTGTGCTTATGTTATCTGTATGTGTGTGTGTGTGTGTGTGTGTGTGTGTGTGTGTGTGTGTGTGTGCGCCTGTATGTGTGTATGTGTCCAAATAAACATTGCACTTAAGGTCAGGGTCAATTTCGAAACAAGTGTGTGTGTGTGTGTTGGTCGGTTTGTTTGTGTGTGTGTGGTTGGGTTATGTGTGTGTGTGTGTGCCTGTGTGTGCGTGCGCCTGTATGTGTGTGTGTGTGTGTGTGTGTGTGTGCGCGCACGCCTGTATATGTGTGTGTGTGTGTGCTTATATTATCTGTATGTGTGTGTGTGTGTGTGTGCGTGCGTCAGTGTGTCCTGCAGCAGCTCGTGTCGGAGCAGCAGGTGCTGAATGAAGCTCTGAGAGCAGAGAAGAAGGTTTATCAGAAGCTCAGACACATCCAGTCTCAGGAGGGCAGGTCAGAACTCAAGCTCAGCTCATTCTCTCACACACTGTGTTAAAGTCCATCACTCATGATGTCCATTTGTGTATGGGTGAATATGCTGTTGAATTTGTGCCATCTTCATTTAGGAACACATGAGTTAAAGGAGGAGTTCAGGAAAATTCTGTCATTTACTCGCCGTCGTGCCGCTCCAGATCTGTAGGACTTCATTTCTTCTGTGGATCTCAAAAGAGCTACTGCAGATTTATGTATTCGTGCTGCAGTCTTAAGTGACCCGATGTATAGTTAAATAGTTGAAGGATTAAATATGATGTCCGGTTGAAACAGAAGTTTTAAAGTGCATGTGAACCCACCCAAGAACAGAGGTCTGTCTCACTCAAAATGACAAAAACTGTGCCAAATAGCAAAAACATCATAATAGTGATCCATATGATGCACTGTATTCAAAGTCTTCTGAACTTATGGAATGCTTTGTGTGAGGAACAGACTGAAAACATCCGTCTCTGCTGAAGCTTTCAAATCTCACACCTGCTGCGTCACGAGTCACGCTGGAAGCAGTTACTTTTGATTAAAAATGGCTGTTTTTGTACTCCACAGAGGAAGGTAGGTCACCTATACGACGACACGAGGGCGAGTAAGTGTCTGAACCCTTCCTTTAAGAGCTGAAGTGCATTGAAAGCTGTGGCTTCACACAGAATGAGTGGTTCTGTTCTGACCCGTCCGTGTCATTGGCAGTGCTGAGAAGACTAGCGCGCTGCACACAGAACTGGACTCGCTTCAGGTGCTGCGCCAACAGCTGGAAGAAGCCCTGAGGAGGAGCTGTGAGACGGCGCTGGTGGACCGGGTCGACTGTGGAGGTGGGACACAGGATGCTAACTCTGAATGAACCCATAACCCATCGCTGAAACGCATAACAAGCCAGAACTGTGGTTGATTGTGTTTTATCCATTTATCCAGTGATGTTTGCCTGTCAGTGGTGTGTGTGTGTGTGTGTTGTTCTGTGTATTGTCTGCTTCATTCATGAATTTGAGTTCACACACTCGAGGTCCAGAAATTTTTTGTACTCCACAGAGGAAGGTAGGTCACCTATACGACGACACGAGGGCGAGTAAGTGTCTGAACCCTTCCTTTAAGAGCTGAAGTGCATTGAAAGCTGTGGCTTCACACAGAATGAGTGGTTCTGTTCTGACCCGTCCGTGTCATTGGCAGTGCTGAGAAGACTAGCGCGCTGCACACAGAACTGGACTCGCTTCAGGTGCTGCGCCAACAGCTGGAAGAAGCCCTGAGGAGGAGCTGTGAGACGGCGCTGGTGGACCGGGTCGACTGTGGAGGTGGGACACAGGATGCTAACTCTGAATGAACCCATAACCCATCGCTGAAACGCATAACAAGCCAGAACTGTGGTTGATTGTGTTTTATCCATTTATCCAGTGATGTTTGCCTGGTGTGTGTGTGTGTGTGTGTGTGTTGTTCTGTGTATTGTCTGCTTCATTCATGAATTTGAGTTCACACACTCGAGGTCCAGAAACGCCTGTATGCTCCATTTGAAGTTCACAGCCACTCTTTCTGAGGCCAAACACATCAGAGCAAATGTAGAAATAGACTGTTGTCTTTGTGTGTGCTGGTTCATGTCAGAGGAGCGCAGTAGTTCAGCTTTGTAACTTTAAGCACTTCAAGACTTTTTTTCTGTGACAAACTGTATGGGCCGATATTTTAGTGCCAAATGAGGCTGACTTTGCTGCATCGTTTAGCATGGTTTGTTCTTGTTTATTGAAATATGAAATTATTTAATGTACTTCAAACTGAAAAGAAATAAATGGAACCAGATTTCTTGGCCAGAATCTTTTGTATTTTATTTTTTTGTTTATTATCCGTTGAACAGTAAGAATCATTTTGAATTAGGATAATCGATTCCTCCAGGACGCTCATTATTAGACGATAAACTAAAGCTAATTTTCATTTGGCATGCAAACATTACAGGTGAGTATGTGAACTGGGATTTTCTACAGTAAAGATTCTTCAGTGTCATTTAATTTCCACTAATATTCAAATGTTTTTTTAAATCACTGCACAGTTTGATGTTAATTAACCAAACAGACTCATTCACACCTGCATGCAAGCGTTCATGCATCACGTCTGCATGGCTGTGACTTTGTGTGGTTTGATGACAGTATGCAGATTTAAAATCATCAGCTAAATTCAGAATATGAAACATCTCAAGAAACCACATTGGTCCTGTGCACTGTCTCATGATCAACACGCTCTTTCAGTTTCAGTTTAATCGTCACACTCATACATCACAAGAGACACTTTGATCAAGCACAATTTCTTTGGACTCTGTGAGGGACGCAATATAATGTTTTACTTTAGTGGGTTGGGGGAAGCTCTCTTTCACAACTTATTGCGCTTAAACGGTCAAATGCACACAATTATGTCACAATGCACATTGTGTGGAGTATCACATAATCAGTCTGTTGTGTCGTACTGTAACCTATTGTGTGTTATGGAAGAAAGAAACACGATGCAGGTCACCATCAACCTATGTATTAATGTTAAAGGAAGGAGCAACAAAATGATAGAAAGTACAATGTGTTTTCCCCCAGCAGATACACACGAGTGCAGGGGCAGAGGAAACCCCCAATCAGGTCTTAAAGGGACAGACCATTCCATCTCCCCCCAGCAGAAAAAAAAAAGCTGTCCTCAGCTGTAAATGACAGGCAGACGTCCTAACACAACTACCATACATGGTTGATGCTTAGATATAGCAGCTGACAAGTACAGGTATTTGCATCAACATCATCTTGGGAACATACATGTTGCCTGATTAGATAATAACATAGCCTCTAATATATAAAAAAATTAAAGAAAAGAAAGGAAACCAAATGTGAAAATAAAATACACTGGGCCGAATCACAAATACACCATTGGAACATACACAGCATTGTTGTACCCTCACAAACATGTATAGAGAGAAACACCATTATGAAAGTAACCAAGAACCGAAACTAACAGCAACATTTCAACACTTAAATCTATAGTTAACAATCAGGCCCCCTCACAGTAATATTAACACTCCCTTTTTTTAGTATGAAACTCATTTGTCCACTTAGTTGTCGACCAGTCTTTTGTGACTCTGGGATGAACTCTGGGCCTTAAATTGTAGTCACACCCCTGTACTGGGATTTGTACTGGATCATCCAAAATACAAGAGTCAGGAAAAGCATTATCATCCCTTGCGGTGCCTTGCACCATCGGGCAAAAGTCAACCGTTCCTGCCTGCCCATCATTAAGCAAGTCATCTTCCCTCTCAATGCAGGGTGATGGGTTCAGCTCCAAATCACCACCGACCATCATTTCCTGAACACCCAGACTGGAATCTCCAGCATCAGAACCACTCGGACCAGGAACTTGAATGGTATGCTCCTCAGCCGTTTGCCAAGTGTGAAAGGGCTGTAGATTCACAACATGCACCACACCCAAATCCTGAGCACCATCAACACTAGCCAGCCTATAATTTACCTCAGATAGCCGCTGCATGATTCGGTAAGGGCCTCCATATAGTGGAGCTAACTTAGCAGCAAAGTTTGCTGCTGCATCGGACCTGGCGTTTTCAAGCGCACTAAGTCTCCAGGGGCATATTCAACTGGCCGTCGACGCAAATCGTAGTGATGCTTCTGTGTGCTTATCTCCCACGTAGGCTCTGATGGCGGACTCCAAAGTTCTGTTGTAGCGTTGGTTTGGGGGTGGTAAGCCGTAGTCAGCCTATGATCAGACCCCACAATCTCAACCACTTTATTGAACAACGCACTCACAAATGGAGAACCCTCTATCAGAAATAAGGTGCCTAGGAGCTCCATGTCGTGCAAAAATGTCACCCACAAATTTGCTTGCGGCAACTTGTGCACTGGCTTCCCTGACAGCACTAGCCTCCACCCATTTACTGAAATAGTCAACAAAAACCAAGATGTACTGGTTTCCAGATGCAGTCCGTGGCAACGGCCCCACAAAATCAACCCCCACATACTCCCAGGGTTCATTGGCATGCACAGGGACCAACAAGCCCGCTGGTTTCCGTTGGTATGGTTTGGTGAGCTGGCAAACTGTGCAGGAAGATACATACGTGCGCACATCACCTCCTTTTAGGCCAAAAAAATCTCAGTCTAAGCCTGGCAAGGTTTTTTTTTATACCAAGATGCCCTGCAGTAGGGTGATGATGATAATTCTCTAGGATAGATCTCCGTATTGCCAATGGTGCCACTAACTTTAAATCTTTCCATGGGTGCATACCACACTGGACATTCACATCTTTGTAGTACAACAGTCCATCTTGCACCATGTAACGGCCCTCAAAATTATCATCGTCCTCAATAGTCTCTGCATTCTCCAACTTACAAAGCAGCACACCAGTTTCGGAATCATCCAACTGAACCTGCCGTATTTGCTGCCTGTTCCCTAACTCAAGTAGTGGTTGGATACGCAAGTCCAGACCAGCTATAATGGCGTAGTCAGGCAACACATCCAAAGGGCCACTACAATCAGGCAAGGGGTTACGGGACAGAGCATCAGGGACCCGATTTCCCACACCAGGTTTGTGCTTGATGCTGAAATCAAAATCTTGCAGCCGAAGACACCAGCGCGCCAACCGACCAGAGGGATTGGGCCTCGACATCAGCCATTGTAAACTACTCTGGTCCGTGTATACAGTGACATGCAGACCTTCAATGTAGGGTCAGAAGTGCTCAAGGGCCCATATCAACCCCAGACACTCCTTCTCTGGAGTTGAGTATGGTTTCTCAGCCTTATTCAGAGTTCGACTCGCGTACGCCACAACTATCTCTCGTCCTTCCTCATCTTGCTGCATTAGTGCTGCCCCCAGCCCTGCATCACATGCATCGGTGTGGATATAAAATGCCTTCCCAAAGTCAGGAAACCTCAAAACAGGTGAAGAGGTCAAACACGACTTTAAGTCATCCATTACCTTCTGACAAGAAGTCAGTGCACACAAAGGTTCTGCAAGCTTTGCATAATTCTTAATGAACCTACGATAGTAGCTGCTCAGTCCCAAAAATTGTCTCACCTGTTTGACACTCTTTGGGACGGCAAACTCAGTCACTGCCTGTACTTTGTCGATATCAGGCAAGATGTCACCAGGCGCCACTTTGTATCCCAGGAATTAAAATTCCTCCCGGCAAAACTGACACTTACCCATCTTCACAGTCAGGCCAGCCGTCCGTAAGCGGCTAAACACTTCACGTATGTCATCCAAGTGCTGTTCGAATGTCGGGGACACAACCACTATATCGTCAAGGTATACGGCACAACACTTGTATATCAGCCCTGCCAAAACAGAGTTCATGAGCTGTTGGAAAACAGCCGGTGCATTGCATAAAC